ATTGCTGATTTCTAAAGAAAACAAAAAATTGTGTTAATTATCCAAGTCACTGGTGTTCCTAGGAATTATTGTGACTGCTCCGTGTCGCCAATACTTGTGTCAACCGATCATGTTCTTTCAGCCGACAAGACCAGAAAATTGTAGTCGCCCGACCATCGGCTTAAATGTGACCTAGGCATAAGGGGTTTCCAATTTTTCGACCGACGGTTAAAATCTAACTGTAGCTCAGAGCTCAATGATCGGGCTACGATTGTCCAAATAAATATATAACCCCCTGTTCACGCATAGACGCCGATTCTACTGCGATCAAAACTTGGCCGAAAACGGGGCGAATCGTGGCAAATCGCAGGAGAAACGTTGTAGAGTCTTCATAAGCGCAGTATGATCGCAGTAGTGTTATCATGATCGGAGAGCTCTACGCTTTCGCCACGCTTATTTTGAACATGCTCAAAACAAGCGAAGTGGGATCGTGGCCAACAAGATTCGAGGTATAGTCATAAAGGTGCGTAGTAGAAGCGCCGTAATCGTACAAGCAGCGCGGAAGCATCGTGGAAAGACCTTCGCGATCGTAGTAAAAGCGCAGTAAAAGCGTAGGAACATACCAAGTGCGATCCTTCAACGCTCCACAAGTTCTTACTACGTTCCCACTACGATCTCCCTACGTTACTGGCGATCCTACGAAGACCTACAATGACCTTATATCAATGACCAATATCATACCACGACCTATTTTATTTTTAAAGTTAAAGTTAAAGTGCTGATAAATGACCAAGCATCATCTGTCAAGTACATGTAAAGGGTGATACTTGAAGATTATTTGTAGTTGACACTTTGAACTTTTCACATCTTGTTACAGTTACAATTGAAAATGTCTCGTAAACCACGTGGTAAAGGCCGTGAACAATCTGCGGCCGCAAGAAATATATGCATCATCCCCAAAATCATACTAGAAGCGTGATACAATCGTAATATGATCGGCAACACCGTAGCGATATCGTCGTTCAGTCATCTAAGTCTGCGTAGCGTCGTAGAATGATCTTGAATGTCGTAGTGGTAACATAGCGTAAACGCAGTAAACGCGGCCGCTGGTCGGCAACGGTCTGCGTAACATCATAGTTGAAGCGTGTTAGCAGCGCGTTTGACGTAGGGGGATCGTAGTACTGTCGTAATGAAGACCATAATTTCCCAAATTGCTCGATTTAGACGCCGATCGTCTCCGATCCGCACCGATCCAAAACTTTTTAGATCGTGGCTTGATCGGGTTGATCATTGTAAAGTCGCAGCTCTGTGTGAACGGAGGGTAACCTATCAAGAATAAATAACACAAACAAAATGTTGATGCATGGATTGATAAATGCTCGTATATTTTTTGAATGATGACATAACGAATAAATACGTAAAATGTAAAATGTTAAGAAATCTCAAGTTTTCTTTGCTGTGATTAGTGCCTTTTTGTCGTTTTCTATGTAATTCTACACAAAATTTGGCAAACATTTTTAAACAGTGTGTCACAAAATTATCCCACTCTACCTTGCAAACATTACCTATGTGAATATAGATCTATGAAAGATATTGCTGATTTCTGAAGAAAACATATTTTTTTGTTTTTATTCAAGTCATCGGTGTCCCTAGGAATTGATGTGACTGCTCAGTGTTCTTTCATGCGACGATACCAGAAAATTTTGGTCGCCGGACCATCGGCGTAAATGTGACCCAGGCATTAATCTTGACAGATCACTTTGAAGTGTCTCCGTGCAGATATTTCTTTCCAAAACTCTCAGAACCTGCGTTTCTGACAGTAAATCTTATGATAAGATGCTATAAATCAAGTGAACCTGAGGTGGATGATTCACATACGTGGCACAGTGGTTAGTGCGTCTCCTCTAGACTCTAGTAAGAAATTCATCCTTACGTAGCGGGTTCGAATCTCACGGCGGGACGTTGAGACCGGTCCGAGACCATATAAATCGAGGTTTCGTGTCACAGTAGGTGCTGGCACGGGAAATATCCCTCATTGCTCAATAGTCCCAAGTACTGAGTATACTTCAGTAATTGTAACCCTCCACCGACAAGAGACAGCGTCTCCGTGAGTGAAAAAATTCTCGAGAGGGACATTATACATATAATTATATACAACTCAGTGCACTTTAGAAGCTCACGTATTTCTTCGCCCAAATTAGGGTCACATTCATCTAATAATAAAAATTATCTTTTCAAGTAAGATAAACATGAAATATACTTGGTATCTTAATTATGTCCGGTGTACATGTCCCTTAAAATATAATCTTAAGTTTTCAAAGACTTTGTCTTTTTAAAATATAAAATTAATTCCATTAAAACGATCCTCTAATAAAACTTAAAATTAATGTCCAAATAACTGTATCTCACTTCCATTCTCAATAATCCTGCAGTGTAGTCAGGGCGACGCTGCGAGTTTCAGACTAATAAAAACATACATAATCAGTTTATACATGATGGCCAAACAATTTGTATAACGAAACATATGGAGATAACAAACACTATCCAAGATCCATAAAACAATACAAAATAGGAGCAGAGCAAACACGGACCTCCAAAACATCAAAGGTGGGATCAGGTGCCATGGAGGAGTGAGCATCTCCTGTCGACTGGTCACACCTGCTGTGCGCTCCTTGTCATGATCGGGAAAATCAGTCGTCAGTTCAGTGTATAATCAACAGTGGACTAACAATTAGTATAAAAAAGCGTCAGCCAGGATTTGACTCGGTGATAAATTGTATTTATTGACAAGGTCATTGTATCGACCGTAAAACTTACGAAATGATGACGTTAAACGAGACTGCTGATATTCTTGTTTCATCAACTTGTTTGTCGATAATCTACCTCATTTTAGAAATTGTTCATACGTAGGGCATGCTCTACTGAGATATATAAACTCCGTATGCAGGTGATGAAAGTATATTGCTGCATAAGTAAGGGAAGTTGACGATAGAAAAGTTAAGAAATGTCAGTCAGCATTCGAAAGATTGTATTTATGACAAGGTCAGTGTTTAAACCACATGATGTTGACTTTAAACGAAACTGTTTATAAATCCTTCCTCATTATCTTGTTTGTCTATAACTTGACCGTTTTATGAATTGTTCATACGTATAACATGCTCTTTATCTTAAAGTCGTATAATTATTAAATTTAGGGTTTTTTTTATTTTCGCAAATAAAATATGTCCTCGGGTAGAACGTTGACTGATATCTTTCAGTCAATTTTTATAACCATTACTTTTACACTTAATTATCATTTACACGAGCATAACAAGGGGTAGGTAGGTGTTTTCGCTTACAGAAGACGCTTACTCCACCATTACATCTAATCCAATCTCTGCTGCAGAGGACCATGTTGTCGCTTAAGTAGACTTTTGAACATGGTTACTTAAGAACCTTCAAAATACGTTTTTGTAAACAGCTAGAATATCCTCACCAGTTTTGAAACGAAAATGCTTAACCTGTTATCATGTTAAGATATATCACTGACCAAATAGGAGAATTCAGCTTAAATATAAGAAGAGAAAAAAAATTTAATTTGGTTTCCCTCTCCATAAAGGATCACTTAGTTTTTTTAACTTCCTGTTTGAGAATTTTTCACTCATTTAAAGCTTTATGTTCTCATTCCAAAGACCTGAAATTTCACTTGAAAGTAATTAACAGAAAGCGAAGACACAGTTACTACTTATTTTTTATTGACTTGGTGCAGTCATGAGTGCGCCTTAGATCCACGCCTTCAATCATGGAGCGAGCGCTCTGCCGACTGAGCAACCGTGATGGCTAACTGGACAAAGAAAGTACTATTTGGAACCTAGAAAAGATAAAAAAAAAATCAGTACACCCTGACTTCTTCAAAACTCAAAGAACATACTGAAATTTTTTATACATGCCTGACTAAAATCAAAGATACATACATTCTTAGACAGAAACGTCAAGACCTGTCCATTGTGCTTAACCGTATCATCTAATTATCATTTATTTACAAAGATGATATATGAACATACGTGTGACATGAGGAAGGGTACAACCCGGCATTGTAGTCAATTAGAAAAAGGTGCTTTATGAATAATGAAGTGAATGATAGCATTTTCGAAATCAGAATAAAATAATTTAGTGTTTTTGACGTGAAATGAAATGTAAAGGTTGCATTTACTCTGAAAATGGATGCCATTTACTGGTAAACTGCATCAAGAAATATTATGGGGATTTCAAAGGTTTCACGGAAGTTTGTCGATTAATATTTTAATTTCCTGTATGAAAAAATTTTCGTCTTCAGTGAAGAAGCATTTTTGACGCCAGTTTCAAATATGATGTTCGTCCAGTCAATTCTTTCCTTAGCTTGTGCGTTTTTAACTACCAGTTTACACATAAAGTCATCGAATTGTTCAGATAATTTGGACTGTTCATGTTACAAAACTAAAGAAAACTTATTAGCAAATTGTTCCGGCTTAGGTCTTACCTCGTTTCCGGGATTTGACGACCGTGTGACGGCTATCGACTTTAGGTTTAATGCCTTGGAAATTTTCCCACACCGTTTCTCGTCTAACGTGAGATATCTCGATGTGTCTTATAATAGAATTAGAGAATCTTCTGCTACATCATCTTGCTGTGATCAATTGGAGATATTAAAAATGGATTTCAATCTTTTGGGTAATGGGAGTACCTTCAGGAATTTGTTTCAGAATCTTCCTTCTCTACATTTCTTGTCAATGAAAGGCAACTCAAAACGTTCCGATCTTGAAATCTTCAGGTATCCAGATAAACTGTTATCGCGGATGGATAGTTTGAATACTCTACATATTGATGGATATTTGTCTGCCAACATCGGGGATCTGTTTTCTGATAATAATAATTTAACATTCTTGGATTTATCGGGATTTCAACAAACGTGTATCTTGAAATTTGTGAATAAAGAAATGTTCAACAAACTCAATAAACTAAGGTTGTTATCCATTTCATACTGCTCTATTCGTTTGGTAGAAATGGGCGCTTTTCAGGATCTACGTTTGTTGGAACAATTAGATATTTCCAACAATGATAAATTAACTCTGGAATCGATACCAAACATCACACACAAAATCAATCCAGGTATCGCATTTCTAGACTTTGAAAAAATCCAATGTACTATTGGAACTAGTCGAGTATTAAGGAAAAGACATGTGAGGAACTTAAAAAATACCAGCCTTGAAAAATTAAATATCGCCTCCAACCGAATTGCGTATCTTGAGTTAGGAGTGACGAAATTTATTCCTAATACATTAAAATATGTAAATGCTGGTGATAATGTGATGAGTAACGAGTTATACATATTCGAACTTCATCGTCTTGAAGGACTTGAGATCTTGAACGTTAGTTACCAGTTTCGCACTCATCAAATGTTTCCAGATTTCTTCACTAGTTGTCATGACGATAATGCTGAAATTTTACCAAAGGAACAAGATCAATTAGTTTTCAGCACTGAAAGAAAACGAAACGAACAACTCAGAAAAAACTTAACATCTGACGTAGTTCAACATTTTATAATCACTTTGTATATACCTCCGAAGTTGAAAGTTTTGTACATAGAAAATACTCAATATACATTATCTATTTCTATCCCAGTTATTGCCAACAACAGTCAAATCACTCATGTTTATGGTAAAAATAATCTGTTCATGACGGCTTTCTCTCCTATTTACAGTATAAATAAACTGGAATATCTTGATTTATCACGTAATCTTCTCTCAAATATAACGAAAAAAATCTTCATTGACTGCAGCAATTTGACATTCTTAAACTTATCTTTTAACATGCTTGGGAATGTATTGGCTTCACAAAAGAGCAGCACAATCTTTAAATATTTGCCAAATCTGGAAGTCATTGACCTCTCATCAAATGGAATTACCATATTATGGCCTGATATGTTCAAATCTTTCGGGAAACTTAAATGTCTCAACGTGAGCCTCAACAAAATTGGTAACTGGGCTGTAAATATCGGTTACATGAAACATCTCACTTCATTTGATATATCTTACAATGAGATAAGTGTGCTCGACAGAGAGACTATGGATGATCTGGAGCTTTTATCTTCCTTCAATCCCATTTCGATCAATCTAGCAGGAAATCCTTTAATGTGTTCATGCGAAAACTTGCCTTTTTTGAACTGGTTACATTCCTTAATTTCTTCAAGACATATTGTTTTTCATAAATTGCGGGAATACAGGTGTGTATTCTCAAATGGTTCTGTGGCTAAAATAGGTAACGTACACGGTTTTATCCAGCATTTACAAAGTGAATGTCGAGAATATCCGATTATTACACTGGTCTGTGCATTCTGTATCACGGTATTTTTGGGAGTGTCCTTGGGTAAAGTTATACATAGATATCGTTGGTCGCTGACGTATTGGTATTACGTTAATAGAGGAGCAAAGAGACGTTTTAAAAGAGAAAATGTCTTTTATTACAGATATGATTTATTTATATCTTATGATGAAGAAGACCGAGATACAGCTTTAGAAATTGTAAACATTCTCGAAAACAATAAGCACTTGAAATGCTGCTTACCTGAAAGGGACTTCATGCCTGGAACAAATATGTATGATAACATTATAAATTCTATTCATGTCAGCAAAAGAATAGTGTGCATGCTTTCAAAAAACTACCTAAATTCTCAATGGTCCATGATTGAATTTCAAATTGCCCAAATGGACTCGGTGCTTTCAAAGAGTCGAAAGGACAAGAATGTTCTCATAGGAGTCTTTCTTGAGAAAAGATCACTCTTCGAACACGTACAATACATGAATAAGGCATTATTAAGCCTTTTAGAATCTGATTCTTGTATGACTTACTCCAATGATAGAAATGCACAGTTTGTATGTTTAGAGAAACTTTGTAATATGTTATAAAACAAAATTTGTGAAACATTTTTCTTGTATGACTTTTTTGAAACATGTGTTTATATATGCTTGATATTAACTTTGTAAATTATTACCATTAAACATAATTCAGGGCACCATCTTTTTTACTTAGAATATATCGTCACGGTCTGATCGGAAAGACTGTCGTGAGTTCGAATCACAGTCGGGTCGGACCTAAGTCGATGAAGGCTGACATTGTTCCATTGATAAACGCTTGGTATTTTGAAGTAAAGGTTGCGGGTCTTTCGTATCAGATTTAATACCGATGTTTACTGATACGATAAAGAAACCCTCACTGTTCATTGGCCTTGATTGCCGAGTAAAGGTCTAAAATCTTTTCCCTTTAAACCACAAGCCACTTTCTTGCGCATAGGGAATCAACACAAGCAGTAGATGGTAGGTTGTTCCACAGTGTTATGGCTAATGGAAAAAAGACTGCTATTGACCCTGAATTTTGGAATAAGGGAGAAGGAACCCGACATCAGGTGAAAAAATAAACAGAAAATGGAAGCACTTTCCCGGTAGATGGCAATGTCTCTATTTCATTCCACTATATGAGTGAAAAAAAATTGTCAAATGGGACCTAAAACAACAATCAATCAATCAAGATCAGGCAATGAGTAAAGAACAACATAATGAAACGAGAATATTATCTACACTGATTGAATTATAATGATATAGTCCGCAAATCAGTCTATCATTAAGTCAAATGCCCAATGAAGTTTTTTTTTATATTCATTGTTAGGCCATGATTTACACACTGACTATGTTTGCTTGATTATGACAAGGAGCGCACAATTGGTGTGAATGGAGGTTTTGGTCATCCAAATGAGAAAAACATTACAATTCTGAAGATATTTTATAGTTCTTTATTTGTCTAGCAGATACATTGTTTAAATGATTATATTAAAAATATGCAATCAAGCTTATACCAAAATTTTTAAATTCATGACCCCTAAATTAATATCGGTGAAAGTAAAAGGTTGTAAATTTTAACCTTAGTCATTTTTCCAAAAATGACCAACGTTCGACGGTTTTTGAAGCAAAACTGGGATTCTTCAGGTGACAGTCGGCCGTTCATCGACCGCTGTCTTGTCCAATTTTGAATTTTTTTTTTCGTCGGCCAGCTAGATTTTTGTCTATCGTTTCAAGTTATATTTTTTCTGCGTCAGTGGCCGATTTTTTCAATTAAAGCAAACCAAACTTCGATAACCGTCCGACCATCGGCGGCGATCAGTTTATTAAGTGAGTCGTGCGTCGTTCGACATTAATACCTAGGTCACATTTAAGCCGATGATCGGGCGACTAAGTTTTTCTGGTCTTGTCGGCTGAAAAAACATGATCGATCGACACGAGTATCGGGCAACACGGAGCAGTCACATTAATTCCTAGGAACACCGATGACTTGGATAAATAACACAATTTTATTTTCCTTTAGAAATCAGTAATATTTTTCATAGATCTATAGTCAGATATGTGATGTGAGTAATGGTTGCAAGGCAAAGTGGCAGAATTTTGTAAGAATGTAGTTCAATGTTGAAAATGATAGAATTGCATAAAAAACAACAAATGGCGCTTTTCTAAGCAGCAAAGAATAATTATGATTTCTTTACGTCTTACGGATTAATTATTTATGTTATTTCCGTTCAAAAATATATATCAATCCATGAATCAAAATTTTGTTTGTGATATGTATCCCACTTAGGTTAAATATTCACAAGTCGGCCAATCGTCGCCTGATCATCGAGCACCGAGATACAGTTTGATTTTCGCCGTCGGCCGAAATTTTTGACACCCTTATTATCGAACGACGGACGACCGACTTAATTAACTGATCGCCGATGGTCGGACGATGATCGAAGGTTGGTCGACGGATAAGTTCAATAGAAGAATCCGGCCAACGACGCAGAAAAAATTATAACTTGGACCGATGGACACAAAACAGGTCGGCCGACAAAAAAAGTGGTCAAAATCGAGCAAGACAAAAGCCGATGTACTGCCGACTGTCACCCGAAGAATCCCATTTTTGCTTCAAAAACCGTCGGCCGTTGGTCGTTTTTGGAAATGTGACCGGGGTTTTAGGGGTTTCAAAAAATTTGGTCCACGGTTAAAATCAAACTGTAGCTCAAAGCTCGATGATCGGGCGACGATTAACCGACTTATGCATACCCGGTTTTCAACCTATTAAGAATACATAACACAAAATTTTGATGCATGGATTGATATATATTTTCGAATGGAAATAATGCAAATAATAAATACGTAAAGTATAAAGAAATCTTAAGTTTTCATTGCTGCTTTGATTTTTGCATTTTTGTCGTTTTTTTTTCAGCCGATGGTCGGGCGACAAAATTTTTCTCTTATCGTCGGCTGAAAAACATGATCACCTGACAGTAGTATCCGGCAACGCGGAGCAGTCACATTAATTCCTTAGATTATCGATAATATTAAAACAAATAAATAATACTACGTCGACCAACAGTCGCCCGTTCATCGTTCGCTAAACCGCAGATTGATTTTCTCAATTCTTAAATGTCGACCGACGACCGACCGACTCGATGAACTGTCTGCTGGTGGTCGAACGATGATCGAGGGGGGTTGCTCGACGGACTGTTCAACAACTGCTTCCATTGAAAGAATCGGCCACCGACGCAAATATGCACGTCCAATGTTCATTTATTGGTTAGAGCACAACATTTCATACAGCTTCTCGATGCACGAAAACTCCTCCTCCACCCCAGGAGTACATGTTACACAGGAATTTGTTTCCAATAGACGAAGAATGGCCGGATTTAATGCTTCTACTGAAAGCGACTCTTTTAATAAAAGAACACTTAATATATCTTTCTCTTTTCGAAATTTGGAGTGGATGGCGTCCATCTGTGCCATTTGAAATTCAAACATGGACCACTGGGAATTGACGTAGTTTGTCGATATGATGCAAATGAATTTCCTACTGATGTGAATGGCATTTATTATGTTATCAGCAATATTGGTCCCAGGCATGAAGTCTCTTTCTGGGATACACAGTTTCATGCGCTTATTAGTTTCAAGTGTATTGGCTACTTGCAAAGCTATTTTAATGTCTTCCTCATCATAAGACAAGAAGGCATCGTACCGGAAGTTAAAAACACCTTTGTTTTTATAGTGTCGAGCTCTGCCTCTGGAAACGAAGTACCAATAGCGCAATGTCCATTGATATCTGCAAAGAACTTTCCATACTATGATTCCCAACAAGACGAGAATCAAAATCGAACACCCTACTGTTATGAAGCGATAATCAGCACATTCTATTGTCTTTTGGTGAACAAATACGGATATGTTTCCTATTTTTACTGAAGAACTGTTCGAAAGCACACATCTGTAATCCTTTAGATAAAGGAAATGCAAGCCTAACGATGCAGAACGACTTAACCATGTCAAAAAGTGCATGTTTTCACATGTGCACATCAATGGATTTCCAAGAAGACTAATAGATACTGTTTTATTTAAAGATACAAGTGACTGAAGTTCAGCCATAGTCCTTTTGTTCAGTGCACTCAAAACATTGTGAGAAAGGTCAATTAAAGCGATATGTTTCATGTGACGCATCTCAACGGCCCATTCATCAATTTTATTGGAACTTACATTAAGGTATCTAATAGTTTTTAAAGAGTGAAATATATTTGGTATAAAACCTGTAAGTCGATTGGTTGAAAGATCTAACACTTCCAGGCTGTGGAAGTGAGAAAATATTTCACTACTAGATTCGTCCTCTAAAGAATCTCCAAGCATGTTATATGATAAGTTCAAATATTTCAAACCAGTACAGTCATAACTTCGAGTTCCTGAGATATTGGTCAAAAGATTTTGCGATAAATCTAAATACTCTAATTTGTCGAATCCATACATAGGATACAAGACCTCAGTGAACAAATTATTATGTGCATACACATGAGTGACGGAATTATTAACGATGATTGACAAATTTATAGTCAAAGAGTAGCGTGTATTGTGAATATATAAAACTTATAATTTGGGGGGCGTGTATAATGTAAAGTTATAATGGGCATCACATAGTGTTTTACTCCTATTTTCGCTCTTCATGAATTTCGATTCAGACGAATTTTGGCAAGCAGATCTGCATGTAGAATGTTCATCATTGCATGTAGAAAAAAAGTCCTCGAATGTTTGATGTGTTCTTAACTGAAAGCTCGTGTTTAGCATTTCAAGTTTTTTTAAGTAATGAAGTTCAAAAATGTAAATTCCGTTCGTCAATAAATTGTCCCCGATATTGATATTCTTTAGTGTAGTAGGTAATAATCGTGTGACACCACTCTCTATATAAGCAATACGGTTGGAAGCAAGATTTATCGTTTTCATATGCGTAAGTTTTAAGTATTTGATATGATCTCTTTTTAGGACAAGAGTTAATCCAATGGTACATTGTAACTTCTCAAAATTTAAGAATTCAATGCCAGGATTGATATTGTAAGTTACATTTGGTATGACACCCAATGTTAATTCTTCATTGTTGGAAATATCTAAGTTTTCCAGGAAATGTAACTCTTTAAAAGCTCCCAAGTCTATTCTTTTGATTCCACAATAGGAGAGTGATAAATATTTGATCTGACCTAAATAATGGAACATTCTTTTTTCAATCAGAGGCAAAATACATGTCTTTTCTAATCCTGACAGGTCTAATGTTGTCAGAGAATTATTTTTATTAAACATATCAGCAACATTGGCAGCACTGTATCCATCGATATGCAAAGTGGCCAAGCTTACAAGCCCAATAAATAACCCTTTGGGATATTCGGCAAATTTCAAGAGAGAACGGTCCATGTTATTTTTCATCGACAGGAATTTTAAAGAAGATAGATTTTCAAATAAAGCCTTCAGTGCAATTCCATTCTCTAGGCGATTGTGGTCCATAACTAATGTCTCTAAATATTTACAACACATAAGTGTAGTATGTTTGGTTCGTATCTTATTTGCAGATATATCAA